TCCGCAGAGTCCCCACCCTCCAGTTCTACCCTCGGGACGACCGCGGATTCCCTGGCCCTCGAGCAGCGCCCGGGTCCCCTCTTCTGTGCTGCTGGCCTTTCCCATTCACCTGACGCCACAACCCCGACTGCGCAGTCTTGGGGGTTTTGGAGGGGGCAGTTTTGGGGTTCCACAACTCAGCGGGCGCCCCCTCTCGCTCCTCCCTCCGCCAGCCCCGCACCGCGCAGGGGCGGGGGGCGCCCCCTCCTAGCCCCTCTCGGATCTCCTGCTGTCTCAAGCCTCTCTAGGGTCCTCTCTGTTACCCTGGCTTTTTGAGGGTCTCCTTTCCTGTACTAGCAGCATCGGTCCTCTGAGGGTCCCAACCGCATCTCTCCGTCCTCAGCCCTCCTGCCCCCCCGCCCCCCGCGTGACTGCACCGTCCTGGTCCCCCTGAGGTCCCCTCGCTCACTGTCTCCGAGCGGTCCTGGTCTCTCTCCAGGTCCCTCTCCTCTCCCTCGTCCCAGCTCTCCTCAGGGAGCCCTTCTCCTTCCCCCGCCGCCCGGGCTCCTCTTGGGGACCCTCCCCTTCCCCCGCTGTCCTGGTCCCTCGCGGGGTCCCTTCTGCTTAGCTCATTGTCTCGGTTCCTCTCGGGGTGCCCTCTTCTCACCCCGCTCTCCTAAGCCTTCTTGAGGTTCTTTCCCCACTTTCTGACCTGGCCCCTGCGCGGGCTCTCCAGTCTCTGGAGCCACCGTCCCGGACCCGCTCGAGTCCCCATCCCTCTGACTCAGTCTCAGCCCCTCTCGGGATTTTCTCACTGCGCGGTCCTGTGCTCTCAGGGGCCCCCTTCTCGCCCCGCCGTCCCGGCCCCTCTCGGGGTCCCCTGCGTCCCCCGCCGTCCGAGTCCCTCTCGGGGTCTCCTCGACACAGTGCACACTGTCAGATCCGCTCCCGGAACTCCGCTCACTCGGCTCCTCCGCGACCTCACTCCGCCCAGGGTCCCCTCGCCGGGGCGCACGCTGTCAGCGCCCCGCGCCCCCGGCTCTCACCTCGGACCTGCTGTCACCACCTCCCGGCCCGGCGCCGCCGCTTCCTCTGTCCCACACTTGCTCGCGAGTCGCGCTCCCGCCGCGTGTTCCCCGACGGAGCCCTGGGTCGGGTCGCTGGGTGCTAGGTCCGGCTGCACGTAGCCTCTGTCCGCGGACTCCGAGTCTCGCTCCACTCTGCACTAAGGACCCCGCGTCCCGCGCCACACCGACCCTCCCGCGGCCACCGCCGCTGCTGTCCGAGGTGCGGCTCCCGCCAGGGGTGGCCAATCGCACCCGACTGCGCCGAACTGCTCCGCCCCACTCTTCTGGTCCGCCCGCCCCCTGCTCTGACCACGCCCCCATCTCTGCTCCTCCGATAGGCTCTCTACTGACCCTCCCTGATGGCGGTGTGCTGGGCCGAGGCCGGATATAGGCATTCGATTGGACATCTCTGGGAAGCCGAGAGGTCGATGGGGCCCGAGGATTGGCGGAGTTCTTAGTGGGCGGGATGTGGGGGCGGGGCTTCCCCCGGTGCGGAAGACCTCGCTACTTCACTGACTTCGGGGCCCGCCAGGGGTGCGGTCCGCGTTGTTTATGGAGCTCTGGGGTCGAAGTTCAGGGCACTCCTCTCCACGCCTTTACTCTTTTGGGAGACTCCCAGAGACCCCCCCACCCTAGGCAGGAGCTTTTGAGGGAGGAGGCTGCTCTTTCGCTGGACGTTAGTAATTCTCACCCTTCTAAGTAATTCTGCCATAAATTAATAGAACATTTATTCGCTTATGCCTCGGACATATTTCCTGGATCTCTGGCAGGGGAGTTGCCTTTTCTTCAGTTGTTCAACATGCGTCAGTTTAATACTGTTGGGGAAAATGACGTAGTAGGTGCATCCTCCGTACAGCTACACGTTCCACACGGACGAGGCGTACCTTAACAGGTTCAAGGACAAAAGCTAAATGCTCAAGCTTGTGGGCTTACGACAGCGTGCTCGGGGAACTCCTGTTAGCGTCAACAGGGTTAGCCTGTTACCCGTTACTGGTTTCAGGGATTCGGTGTGAAAGAATGGCCAAAGGTCACTGAGCTTTGACCCAAGCCCAGGCGGATAATCAGAGGCCCATCTTGACTCCAGCTGAAAGGTAGCTCCTGCTAGGGTTCGAATGCATCGCGTTACCGAGGGCCATGTATTGAATTTTTGTGACTTGGCTGTGTTATTAAATCCCCAATGCAAACTGAAAACTGCTTTGCAGTCCTCGAAAGTCTTCTAAGTTTATGGACCTCGAAAATACAGTATTTTATTTATTTATTTATTTATTTTGGTGGAACCGGGGATTGAACTCAGGCCCTTGCGCTTGCCAGGGAAGTGCTTATTCCGCTGAGCCATTTCCCCGGCCCAATACAGCATTTTATGAAGACATTACTTGATTTCACGAACATCATTCCTATTTAAAAAATCTCTTACTGATGAAACCTGTGTATACATTTTTCCTGTTTAAAAAATTGTATCCATGTCAATAAATCCAAAAAAGTGTACCCCATTCCAATTACGATGCTGCAGCATTTTAAGTTTCAGTGGTAAGGAATATAGAAGTGCCCAGAAGATGCAAAAAGTCCTCATAACAGTCCTGGGTGGCCGGGACTAGGGTTCAAGTTCATTTCCTGGATCTGAAGGAGTCATCTCAGTAGTAGTATGCCCGAGTACTGTTTTGGGACAAGATGTAGAGAAAGCTGCTGACACTTTTGAGGGATCCTGATTCTTACAAACCTGAAGAGGCTGTTTCAAATATTAATTATAAAGATGAGTAAGAGTAATGCCATGAGATAACTTTTTCTTAAAGCATGTTTCTCCTTTTATTAGCTTAGAGGTCATCCTGTCTTCTGAATACAAAAGATGAAGATAATTTTCACTACATAAGTGAGAAATTAATTTGTCTGTATTACACATAAACAATGTATGACCATTAAGATTTTTAAATGTATTTGGTACAGAGTCTCACTGAGCATCTCGGACTCAGTGATCTTCCTGTTTTCAGGCTCCCCAGTGCCAGGATTACAGGCATGTGCCCCCATGCATTTCTCGGTGGCTGGCTCAGGATGACCAGAGGCTGGCCAGTGCAGCGTGTGGTGCTGGGAATTGAACCCCAGTCTCTGTGTTTGACTAAGCAGGTGCTTAGCCCGCTGAGCTATCTCGCCGGCCCTGCATGACCATTAAGAGCTGCTGTTTACAATAAAAAATGAAAAGACAAAACCCAAGTATCTTGAAGCTACTTAGCAATGAAAATTTTTTGGATTTATTATATTAATGAACTATGATGTCTAAAATGTCATTGCTTCTTTGCGTTATGAATATTGCTACTGATAAACGAGTTGCTCAATGCAGTTGATTACAAATAATTTCGATGTGACTCAACTGCACAAAAATAGAAAATGATTTCATCTTTTGGATAGGAGACAGTTTTGAAATCTTAAACATAGATGGCAGATGTACAGTGAGCCCTGAGAGTCTTTTTATTTAGAAGAAACTTCAGAAGATCTCTGAACTCTTGCTAAGATATTGTAGCATTCCCTTGTGCAAATTCTTGCATTTTTGTTGGGAGGAAATTACTCTTACAAAGAGCCAATATTTTAATTAAAAGAAGATAGCAAATAAGAAACGTCAAAACAACTTGGATGAGAATAAGGTTTTTCATTTTTAGAAGACTCCTTGGGGGCCAATTTCAAGATAAATTCGATCACGAAGGCTCTGAGAATCAGAGAATGTTTTTTTTTTTTTTTTTCACCTTGGCTTCCACATCTGTGTTCTGTTTTACTGCTTCTATGGGAAGGCCAGTGTAGCAGAGTCAGATTATTTTGCACAAGACATTAAACACCTCTGGGTCCCTTGCCTTAATTTTTTTTTTTTTCCACATACAACTCAATAGCACTGTTCTCCGAGAAAGGGACATCCTAAATTGGTTAAGCAAAGTTTACAACACTGTGACCCTTTTGTATTCAGAGGGAATCACAACTTCGTGGAGATACTCAGCTTTCTTGTTTTTTGAGTTTTAGCCAGATTTCTTACTGTAGGCAAATGCTTCATTTGCTGACAGCAAGCTTTTGGATTAAGCAAAATTGTTAAAAATTTATTTTAAAAGAAATATGGGGCAGTTGCTCTGTCGAAGCCCTTAGTATAGAAATCTGAACTGTGTAGACTGTAAGGTACCTTTTTTTAAAAAAGGCAAATGAGGGGCTGGGGAGATGGCTCAGTGGAGTAAGTGCTTCCCAGGCAAGTGCAAGGGCTGAGTTCAATCCCCGGTTCTGAAAAAAGAAAAGAAAAGAAAAGAAAAGAAAAAGGCAAATGACAGGTCTTTTGAAATCTGTAAAATCTTGACCTCATCTTGTCCAGTAAACCTTCCAAACAGAAGAAGGGCTTCCCAAGGAGTGGGAAATACGGTTTTGTTGACCTTAACATGGTGTATCAGTAGCTTGGTGTTTCAGATCTTAACAAAGGTCCAATTAGTCAGGGAGGAGCCAAGATTCCTCTTTTTCTGCATCTTCACGCACACTCTGGCTGTCTGGGTTTCCTGACCTATTAAGCCGACCACACAAGTCATTCAATCGCTTAAATTATGGAGATCAGTCCCACCTGCCAAGGGCGCTGCCAATTCCCCTACCAGCCCCGCCCCTCAGGTCGCCAAAGGTCCTTGTTCTAGTTTTGGCCCTGGGCGCCGCCTGGCGGTTATTTCGGAACTGTCTTCTGAGGTTCGGGGTCCTGACCACAGCCTGGGCTGTCCAAACTTTTGCCTAACTCCAGAGAACCACCCTCCCCGCCCCCCTCCCCGACCCCCAGCTTCTCCTCACCCTCACCCACTGAAGGTAGTAAGATGTTGATGAAGGGTCTAGGGACCTGGAGAAAGGAGAGCCTTTTCTCTCTCAAGGATGGCTTGGTCAGGCAGTCGCCGGGCATCTCGCGACCCGGAAGTCGCCCTCGTCGTGAGGCCCCCGTTGCCGAGCGCGGGCGCGGGGGGCGGAGCTCGGAGCGGCCAGGAAAGGGGTCGCTGTGGCTCCGGCTCCTGGAGTTGCGGGGCTTCCTCGGGCTCCACTAGGAGGAGTTCAGGTCCCTAGCGCGTGTGGCTACGGTCCTGGGGACAGAGTCAGCTGCGCTGGGAGGCGACATGAGTGCTGCGGGGCTGCTGGCTCCAGCCCCGGCCCCGACTGGAGCGCCGCCGGCCCCGGAATACTACCCTGAGGAGGACGAGGAGCTGGAGAGCGCCGAGGACGACGAGCGCAGCTGTCGGGGCCGAGAGTCGGACGAGGGTGAGGCCTCGGGCTCGCCGGGCTGTCCCGACGGGAGAGGCATGCCTGGGGAGGGGGTGGGGCCGCGCGGGAGGGGGCGGGGCGACCGGGGGCTTGGGGCCGGCTGGGGGCGGCATGCGGGAGCGGGCTCCCCTCGGCCGCCGCGCGCCGGGGGGAACAGCTCGGGGTGCCGTCTGCAGCGGTGTGGGGACGGCGAGGCGCAAGCGTCGTCAGCTGGAGATCTCTTAAGACTGCGTCGCGTCCCCGGCCGTCTGTGGTTGACGCTGGGGTCTCCATGAGCAGGCATGGGAAAGTCGTTGAGTGCGTTGGTTGAACAGCACTCCTGTTGTGATTTTTTTTTTTTATTTATTTAACTTTTTTATTACTGAGAGGATCAGAGCGAAGCCCAGTTTGGCTTTCTCGCTCCCCCTTCTCTTTCTCTGAAATGCATAAGTCGGCTCTACTTCGCGTGGTGCAGTGCATGACTGAGGAGAGAGCCGGTTGGGGAAAAGCAGCAGCTAGGTGTTCGGCTCCGTCTCTTAGCCCCGCGGCGCTCGAGACCGTGAGCCTTCCAGCCTCGGTTCCCTCTGCTGCCGTAGAGCGCCGGCCGCGCCTACTTCCTGGGATAAGTTGAGGATTGAATGAACGGTGCGTCAAGCCTTTGGCCTGGTGCTCCGCGTTTTCCTCACCGGGGAAACGGACACAGAGGAAGTAGGGATTCGACTCACGGTGCCTAGAAACTGTGTTTTCACTCCCGCGCTCCTTACGTTGTCAGTACTGCCTCTCAGGTTCTTGTTTTGGAAACTGGGGGCTTTGCGTTTTACAACCCTTGGTAAGTGTGAGCAACATCGTTTTGGAGGGATCGAGGAAGGAGTTGGCTCGAGGACAAGGAAGGTGAAATACGAAAGGGCAGAGGGGAAGAAAGGATACAGAGACCATTATACGGGTGGAGTGATTTAGCACAGAGTAGGGCCAGAAGGCTGGAGCTAGACCAGTGCTCTGGGGTGATGAATATTTTATCTCAGCCTCCCAGGTTCTAAGAGATGTGGCGCTAGCACCTGGCAGGACCTCAGTGGCATTCCCTTCCTTTGCGGGAGGAAGGAGGATTTGTGGAAAACTGCTTCTGCAGCAGCTTTTCAGAAGGCACCTGCCTATGTGGGACACAAAGTTGATGCTAGCTGCATTTGGCCTAACTACACTGAAGAGGAGACACTTGCATTGCCTTTAAGGGCCACGAGGAGGAGTGGTGAAATCAAAATTGATATTTTTTGTCTGCAAGTAGTGTTCTGTGGGAGGACGGTTGCAAGTAATACACTTCAGTCGTTTGGTGCTTGCAAGAAAAGTGTTTCAAATGACCGGAAAGACTTTCTTTTGACCATTGTGCCTTTCACTTGCTTTTAGTTGCAACTCTGAAAAATTTTCAGCTTGTTAGAATTCACCTGTCGTTGGAGACTCCTTTTTTATTGTGTGTATCAGAGCCAGCTTGTATCAGTGAGTAGGCTTGACTGCCTGCTCTGCCCAGTCTTGGTGCCCACAGCTGTGTCCTCGTTGGTTAACGTGACTATTTCTATCCTGTAATAACTATTTAATATTTTTCCACTGGTACTTTCATGTAGGACTGCACTGAATAGAAATTCACTTTATGGAAGTTTATTAAGTACTTACCCCATGTAAGGTGATACGAAGTCTGGGAATTACAATTTTGATTACTCCTTCTTCCCTAATTTTACTTAGACACTGAGGATGCTAGTGAAACTGACCTGGCAAAGCATGATGAAGATTATGTAGAAATGAAGGAACAGTGAGTATGATTTTTGTGTTTATTTTCTGGTACATAGAATTGACAAAATCTTTATGGTGACTGTGTGTATTGTGACTATGTTTTGATCATAATGCCTCCAGTGCCTGTGTGTGCAAACCTTATCCCCCACTACCTTTTTTTAATTTGTATTACTGGGAAATTGATCCCAGGGACCACTGAGCTATGGCCCCTGCTCTTCTGGCTTTTTGTTCTGTTTTCAAGACAAGGTCTTGCTAAGTTGCCCAGGCTGGCGTCTTCCATCCTGGCCAGCCCTGTCCTTACTCCCCTTTAAGTTAGTCTCATCTAATCAGTGTTCGTGACTCTTGAGTTGAGGCTAGGAAGAACCTTGTTGGAAAAGATCACAAATGAGGGAGCGAGAAAGACCATGAAGATCTTTTAGTAGGTTTTTATTTTAGAAAGTGAAAACCAGGGTAAGGGAGGATAAATGGTGCTGCGAATCAGTTGACTTGTCAGATAGGTGTGGCGGCCTGAGCCTGATTCCTTCCTGCACAGTGTGCCAGTGCTCAGAGCTCCAGGGTTGGAGAGCCCGCAGGCCACACTTTCAGGTCTTGAGACAGCTACAGCCAGACCACCTAGAGAAACAAAGCCCCATTCTTTTCCCTCCCTCTCTCCCTCCCTTTTTCTTGATCTTTATATGTTGCTCAGGCTGTTGTGAACCCTAGCTTTCTGCCTCTGCCTCCCTAGTGCTGTAGCTGGGACACAGGTGCTTGCCACTGCCCCCCACCCCATTTTTAATCACCCAATTAGAAGATAGTAGAAGTTTAGTATTTATTGAGTGCATTTTGAGGATCTTGAGTTGACCTTTTAAAGTCTTTTAATCTAGATGATCCACATTCTCTCCCTTCTAGGTGCTAGTAACAAATGTTTATGGCCATCCTGTGGATTCTGTCATCCTTGTCAAGCTTTGAAGCCCAAAGGGAGTAATTTAGTTAAGTCTGACCAGTGACTTACAGTAATGAAGGATTACTTACAGTAATTCATGGGATCTGTCTTACAGTTTCACCCCTAAAACTGTGCTTCATTTTTATCTTTGCAAATGTTTTATTGATTCACCTTGACCCATTTAAGATAAATTCTCACATACCCATGCTTTTCCCTAGACATGACCCCAGTGAGTCTGAGAAGTTGTTTTATCTCTTCTTCCATTGTCATTTGTCCCATTTGAAGACACAGTAGAAGGAAATGACCAGCACCCTTTCCTCAGCTGCACTTGTGTCAGCTATATTGGAGCAATTAGAAGACTCTTATATCTAGGGCACACTGGACAGTGTTCTTTCAGGTTACAAATCCTGCTTTATTTTTGGTACCAGGGACTGAACCCAGAGTGTTCACACTGAGCTATATCTCAAGCCTTTTTTGGGGGTGTGTGTGTGTGTGTGTGTTTAGTATAGGGTTTACAGGGTCTCACTACCTAGATCGGACTCAGTGATTCTCCTATTTTCAGCCTCCCAAGCTCTGGGATTATAGGTGTGCACTACCACACCCAGTCGCTGTCTCAGTGTGCCCTAGGTGTGGGACAGTGCAGGCTGTTTAATCCGCTGAGCTATCTGGCTGGCCCTCCTTTTTTTTTTTTCCTCCCCAGACAAGGTCTCCCTAAGTTGTCCAAGCTGGGCATGAATTTGTGTTCCTCATGCCTCAGCCTGCCTGGTGCTGAGAACACAGGCTGTTTTGGCACTGAGAAATTGTGAGCGTTTTCAGATAAAACCCCAAATATTGTGGGAATGTGATCTGCTTAGAGTAAATGCACCATTTCAATATGGACTTGCTGTTGTCTAATTGCTAATTTGTAATCTATCAAAAGATGAATGGATAAACAAATGTGTATTTATATTTAATGCAATATTAATCTGTCATAGAGAAGGATAAATTTGAGTCATCTGCAGGAAAATGGATGCACCTTGAGGCCATAATGTTAAGTGAAATAAATCAGACAAGCTTAAGTATTGCATGAATTTCTCTTACATGAGAAACCCAAGATATCAATAATTAAAAAAAAGAAAATGGAGAGAGAGAGATCTTTTGCAGATGGAAAAGGTATCTAAAGGCAAGAAAGGGGGAGGGAGAAGGGAAGGAGAATAAAACTAAATAAATAAGACCCACATTGTGTTGTGGTGAGTATGTGTATTTGCTCTACTAGGTGGATATAAGCACGTACTGCAAATGTGTACTAATAAAATAATGTGCCAGGTCTTTTGCTTTATGTGTTCTCTGTGTTTGTATCTAGCTGGGGCTGCAAATGAAGGTTCCGTTTTAATTTTTGTTTCTGTATTGCTACTGTTTTTCTGATCCTGAAAGTGATATGAAGATTTATCGACTTAATGCTAATTCAGTTGTGCTCTTGGTATGGAAAGACATGCTGAGGGCATAATCTTACTCCCTTAGAATTTATAGTCTAATTGAAGTGAAATGAGAGTGGTGATCATTGTTAGTATACTATTAAATCCAGAAATATTTGTACATCGTCAACTGATTTTCTGAAGGTGGGGTTAACACAGAAGAACCTAGGAAATCAGGATATATTTCAAGAATATGCAACCCTTGTCCTTTCTTGTTTTTGAGATGAGAGTTCACTATGCTGGTCCCCAACTTGTGGGCTCAAGTGATTCTCCTGCCTCCGCCTCCCAAGTAGCTTGGACTTGCAGACGTGCACCACTGCGCCTGGTTCCTTGTCCTGTTCTGACCTTGTTTACCTAGTACATTGTAAACTTCTCTTCCTTGAACGCTGATGATGTTCCCATAGCAGACCAAGTGATTCTTGTGTAGAGGGATTTTAGAGTTGAGGACTGGTACTTTCATCTTTCACTGTGGCTTTTCTTTTATAGGATGTATCAGGACAAACTGGCTTCACTCAAGAGGCAGCTACAACAACTGCAGGAAGGTTAGTGTATAATTGATTCTTCCATTTCTAAATATTTCTTTTTTTGTTTTGGTGGTACAGGGGATTAAACTTGGTACTTTGCCCTTGGCAGGCAGGTGCTTATGCTATTGAGCTATCTCCCCAGCCCTTTAAATATTTCTTAATGTTAACCTATGAAACTATGCATTGTACTTTTCT